CTTGACGCAGGGAGGGTCTGGCTCTGTCCGAGGCCCCTTCAGAGGATCTGCTAGCAGCCCCCTCTGGCTCCAGGGCTCTCCTGCAGCAGGCCCTTCTCGGGCCCTCCGTGGCTCCCTGCCCTGACGCCGCCGCCTTCTCCTCCTCCCAGGTTCTCCGCGGGCTGCCGCTCAACACGCCAGCCCCCATCATGTGCCCCCGCCCGGCTGCTGCCGCTGGCCACCGCTGGCTCTCGGATCCGGAGTGCAGGGCGGTCTCGGCTCTGCTGGCGCTGCCTGCCAGTGCGGGAGACGATGCCAGCGCCTGCCCAGCCCCAGAAGCCCTGGCATGTGGGGAAACGGGTGCCTCCCCAGCTCCGTGCTCCTAGGCCCCGGCTGCAACTGGAATGGAACGTGAAACAGCAGGGCTGTGCTGGCTGATTGGGGGGGTTTGTGCTCCCCCTTCTGGGTTTTTTTTTGGGGGGGGTGGGGTTCCGTGGCACAGGTCTGTGTCTGCACTTGAGAGGGGAGGGGAAGCTGCTGTCCTGGAGCTGTTGGCATGCACGGAGGCAGCTTCGTCTGGCGCAGAGGAAGAAGGGGGCAGGGTGGTGGTGGAGGTGTGTGGGTGGAGGTGTGTGCGTGGGCTGGTGTCTTTTTTTGGGGGGAAGGGGTCCGCTGGAAACCAGCCTGCCTGTTTTTTTTGGTGAGTGTGTGTGTTAAGGGGTTGCTGCAAAGAGATTTGATTGGGGCCTCCTGCCCAGGTCTTTTGTGGTGTCCTTGCTTGTTTTTTGCCCTTGTGAGAAGGGGGGGGTCTTTTCCTGGGGAATAAAGTTTGGCTGTTGGAATGCCGTGCCCGCGAAATCCTTGCAGCTGGAAGAGTCTCCCGGGTGCCCCGGCCCACCCTCTGCCAAGGGGCCGCCTCTGCGGGTTGGAGCAGGAGGGGCTGGCCTGCTCTCCGGTGCCCCTCACAGAATTCTCCCCTGCCCACACAGATATCCCCACCCCCCTCCACACCCGAGAGCCCAGCCGAACCAGAACCCTCCCGGGCGGTGGCCAACTCGCCAGAGGCCTCCAAAATGCCCTCCAGCAATTCCTGAAGGCAACCCCCCCCCACCTCGGGCTACTGGACTCAGTGTGACGGGTGGACCACTCCTCCTCCACAAACGTCTCTCGTCTCATCCAAGCCACCTGTGGCAGCAGAGTCCCGTGGTTGTGTGAAGCAGGCCTTTCTCGACTGACCCAGGGTGCTCGTGAATGAAGAGTGCTCTCTCGCCAGGTCTTCACAGGCTTCTGCTGTGTGCGGGCTCTAATCTGGGAGATCTGATTCCCCACTCCTCCACTTGCACCTGCTGGATGACCTTGGGCAAGCCACAAGTTCTGTCAGAGCTGTTCTCCCAAGAGCAGTCCTCAAGAGAGCTCTCTCAGCCCCGCCTACCTGACAGGGTGTCTGCTGTGGGGAGGGGAAGGGAAAGGAGTCTGTAAGCCGCTCTGAGACTCCGAGTGGAGGGCGGGGGGTATGAATCCAATCTCTTCTTCCTCTCTTCTTAATGGTTTGGGGTTTTGCTGTCCTCAGAGCCCGTGGGCCAGGCCCTTTTTGAGACGTGTGGCCTGAACTGCCACCAGCTTCTGCCCCGACAGCCCTAACCCCCCAAGCCCCATAGCTGGAGGAGGAGAGGGGCAGGTCACAAGGGAAAGGCAGCCAGGCCAGGAGCCTCCTCTCCACCAGGAACATTTTTTAATTATTACTTAATCTCTGGAGTGGGGGGGGGTGCGACCAGCCAGGGCCCCCCTCTCTCAGCTCCAGCCTGGGCTCTGGCGCTCCCCCCGCCTCCTCTCCAGCTGCTGCAGGCGGCGCCAGAGCTTCTCCATCATGGCGTCCAGGAGGTGCAGGGCGTCCACCAGCGCCGCTTCGGGGTCACCTTGCCGGGAGGGTTTCGTGACGCTCGGCTGTGGAGAAGGAGCCGGAGGGAAGTTGAGCCTTGCGCTGCCCCGACACGTTTAGCGGTCGCCAGGGCTCTTTTTGTAGAAAAAGCCCAGCAGGAACTCATTAGCATAATAGGCCACACCCAACAGCAGGAACTCATTACCATATTAGGCCACACCCCTGACAGCACATATCATTGGCATATTAGGCCACACCCCCATGTTACCAGAAGTGTGGTCATCCAGCCACACCCACCTCTTGCTTCTTATTCTGTTTGCCTTGTTTGTTGTCCAAACCCAGAGGGGTTTTTTTTGCAGCAGGAACTCCTTTGCATGTTAGGCCACACACCCCTAAGGTAGCCAATCCGAATGAGTTCCTGCTGTTGGGTGTGGCCAACTTGGAAACCAGCTGGAACTCTGTTCCTGTGCGTTCCTGCCCAAAAATAGCCCTGGCGGTCGCTCAGAGACATCAGGGATATTATCCCCCCCCAAAAAAAAAACAAAGGCTGCTTTGGGAGACGAAACAAAATGAGGCAAGGAGTTCCACGAGCCCCACCTGAGGTTTCCAACGAATGGCCAATGCCTCTTCCTAGCGATGGGCCCTGCTCATGGGGGTTGCTTCCTACCACATGGCCCTCCTTCTGGCGCTGCGGGGCCAGAGCAGCGGGGGGCCCTTTTTTGTCCCGAGGTGCGGCTCAGACCTGGGGCCACGTTTGGTAGCCATGCCAGCGGTGCCTCTGAACAGGCACGCTCAGTACTCTCCTTAGCCATGGGTTAACCTCCCCCGAAGCCGTTTGGCCGCGTGCTGCAGCCCCCCCCCCGCCCCATGGGACCCGTGACTTGGCCGCCTGGCCGCCGTGTGGACTGACCTGTGGCCGGAGCACGCATTTGACCAAGAGGAGGGCCGAGGCGAGGAGGAGGAGGGCCAGGGCCGGGAGGGCCACCCAGTAGGCATAGCACAGCAGGGAGGCCTCCGACGGCATCCCCCACAGGCCTCTCTGACGTCCGCAACAGCACGCCGAGCCACCCCAAGGGCCCACGCGTCTCAAGGCCTGTAGCGCTCTCAGTCCCCCGGGGCCACACTGCCCACACCACGCTGCCCATCGGTTCCAGAACCCGGCCTGGTTGCTGGGCGATGAGGGGAGGAGGTAGACAACAGGGTCCGGTGGGTGGGACAGTATACATACACCCCCCCTCACACACACACCCTTGCAGCCACAACGCGGCTCTCAAGAACAGCGGGCAGCCGTTTAAAAATTCCGCAAAATGGAATTCCAGTGCTTGGGTTTCTGTTTTCTAATAGTGCGGTTTTTCATAGCCAGTTGCCTGAAGGAGGCCACTGCTGATGCAACAGAGAAATATTCTAAATAAATGAGGCTGGAATTTGAGGCCAGTTCACCCCCAGGAATTCACCAGCTCCCTCTGCCCACACTTGAAGAGCCAGGCCCACGTCCAGGGGAAGGGAACTGCAGGGTGGGTGGGAAACAGGCCTGCAGTACCACAGTGGCCTCTAGAGGGGGCCCTTGCACCGGTCAGTTGCCACAAGCCCCCCTCCTCTGTGGCTTGGCCCAGGGGCACGAGGGGACACCCAGGAAGGAAGGTCCGGGGCCTGCTCTCCTCCTCCGGCCCTCAACCTCCACTGCTCCCGGCCCTTCCTGTCCCCTCACACACACACCCTGGTCCACAGCTGTGCCAGGAGAGGCAGCCGAAGGGGGCTCCCTTCCCTACTCTCCTCTCTTGGACTACTTGCTGCTCCAGGCAGGCCAGACTGGAAGGGGCAACTCTTCAGGATTGCCCCTGGTTTCCACAGAAAGGAGGTTCTGGAAGAGTCTGGTTTTTAACCACTTGGGTTCTGTCAGTGATCTGGCTCGAGCCCAGCTTCCAATGCTTGCTGCCACCAGTGCAAAGACAGTTCACGCTGCGACTCACAGAGCCATGTCTTAGCACCTGGTTGGCACACCTCTGTACCAGGGGTGGGGTGGGGGGCACTGCCTTTTATGCCAAGTGGGCATGGGGGGGGAGGGTATTTATTAAAACACTCCTCTCTCACCTTCCCTTGCGACGCAATAAATTCAATCCATCCCCAGGTAAAACTAAAAATAGAATAGCACTTTCAAAACGGACCATGCACGTTCCCGGGGGCTGGCCCCTGACAACAGACTGTCAGACCCGCCCACCCGCCCCCCGCCTTCTAGGTCGATGCAGGTTCCAGGTTCTCTTGAAGGGCAGCCCCAGGGTTGGCCCTCTTCGTGTCCAGCCCTGCCGGCCTCTTTCCAACCATAAACATCCAGCTCAGTCTGTAGGAACCCCCCACCAGAGCCTCGGTTGTGGCACTGCCAGGTTCCCACACAGATCTTTGCAAGTGGTGAGGGCGACAGGAGCCAGAGAGGGACTTGGCACCCCCTAACTAGGGCTTTTGCCCCCCCTAACCCCCCCCCCCAATCTTCCAAACACCAGCCCAGGATCCATGGAGGAAAGACCCTCTTTCCTTTTGAGAAGACAAAAACTGCCACGCTGCATCACAGTGACCCACAGCAAGCGAAGGCGCAAGGCGGGGTGAGCTCCGGGTACTTGGCAGCCACAACCAGATTGCCCTCTCCTGTGGGTCAGGCTGCAGAGGGGTGCTTCGGGAGTGAACCAAGCCCCCGCCCCCGCCGTTGGGACTCCTCTTGTCCTTTGAGCGAAGAGCAGAAGACAGGAGCTGGTCTTCAAAGTGCCTTTATTGCCCAGGACCGGGAACCAAGTAGTTCAACTCCAAATTCCAGAGACAGGGAGGGGACTGTTTGCATGCGGGGGGGGGGGTGTTCAATCA